CTCGTCGGTCGGGAGATTTTGTTACTGGTGGACAGATTTGGAAAGAAGGTATCATTGTCTCATGGTACTTTGTATATTTCCTGATATGCTCTTTCTATCACAGTCATGGTGTAGCGCGCCAATGTGTATGCATCGAAATTGCCTTCCATTCGCCTCCGCATGCCGGGTCCTCGATCCGAACATGACGTCTTCTCCTGTCACTCGATGCCCTTTCTCTCCACTTTGCTCATTTGTTATGCCAGAGTAACGTCCGTAACGAATTCCAGTCGTCCGACTGAACGTAACTGTCCACACGTTAGCGTAATCCCATATTCTTTCAGCTCCAAGGGATACCCACATGTAACTCATACTGCTCCTCAAACTGCTCTGCACAGCCTCAGGATGCCACCTGAAAATATACATAACCATCGCCCAACTCAGACTGGCAAACACCGGCCATCCGTTCTTCGCCATAGTTCTCCTCATCTCGCCATTACCGAACAGCTCCCACCCGCCACCACCTCCCTGAACTCCTTGTCCACTAGCTCCGCCTCCGACCTGTCGTGGTTGTACTGCCAGCTTTGCCAGCGCTAACAATACGCGTGCAGCTACGTATATGACGATTTGCTGAGACACGGAATTGTGAATTGTGCGACCAAAGACGGTGTAGCCGCCTAGAAGACCGGCGAGGAAGGAATCGTAGTGTCGCTCTTTGCCGGTCGGGGACGCGTGTCGGAGGAAGATCATGCAGGATTTGTAGACGAGGGCGAAGAGGCCGAGGTTACGGGCGTGTTGGCGGGTCGCTTTGTAGACGAGCAAGGCTTTCGATCGGAAACTGTTTGGCTTTTGTCAGCACGAGTGTTCTCTAGTTACGGAGCAGAGAAGAGGGCTAGTAACAAGGAGAACGCTGCGTACCTTCCAGATCTAAACAGGAAGATCATTCTGCAACCACGCGTCAGCTATCCACTTCTCATGAAGCTACGGCCCTGCGGAAACCTACACAAGCGCATGCGGAAATCGCACTTTACTTCCATACACGATGCCATTCCTCACACCTTTTACCAGTGTGAGGATATCGTGGTACTTTGGATCTAGCACAATCCTGTCGAGCGCAGCCTGTTTAACCATCAGCTCTTGCGTTATAAAAGATGCGACACCCTCGTTTCCTGCAACATACCTCAAGGGCGTGTAATCTATCCATGCCGTTTGTATATGTGTGTTATGACCTGGGTGTTGTGTTCTGTCGTTGCTGGCTTGCGTCCGGCGAAGAAGAGCCTCGGTCCAGCGCGCGCGTTGCGATGACGTTTGCCGCTACCTTTTACGGTCGCAGGAACTCTGAAGGAGAAGATCGAAGGAGTGAAGAGAAGAATGGAAGTACAGTGTACGTATCATGAGGCTGGCATGGGGACGAGAGCGAGGTTTGCGGACGGGTATAGATAGCGCAGAGTCGCAGTCGCGGAATGGCTGCTGGCATCTGATCCTCGGCTCGCGTCACATTGCCGGTCGCTGCTTCCCCACATCCGTGGATTGGTGCAGCTTCGCGCTAAGAGAAGGAAGGGACAGGGGTGTTTGCGCTTTGACATGTGAAGGCAGAATTATTTGGCGAATGTTGCATGTGCATGTGCTCTATAATCTAAGACTGCTGCTTCTTTTCTATGCGCTCAATGTAACAATACATGGTATCTCGACGCTCCCGCCTGATGCTATACAAACGCCCCCAAACACCATGATATGCTGCTCGACAAATTCCGCGCATCCAGCGCGAAATCCCGTAACGGTCCTACTCTACTCGTCGAGTAGGCCATCGCTTCTTCAACTCTTCATATACCGTGAAGATGAAAGCAGAACTCGGTATGGACCTCGCAACTGTGATACCACACCCACGGTACATGCCTTTGATACCGTGTTGCTTCCAAACCGCCTTTCCTACAGCGCTGAATGTTGACTTTCCGCCAGTCAATTGCTTGACATCTTCCGTCTGCATCCTCGACTTGATCGTGTCCGCAGGGTAGAACATGAAGTTGTAGGCTCCACCTGCGACAGAACCAGAGGCCATGCGCTGCCAGACGGGAATATCTTCGTCCTTGGCTGAAGTGCTGGAGCCTTTGAACAGGATCTTCATGCCTTCATAGCCACCGAACCACGCCGCGCCGCCTCCCGTCTCGCGAATCAAGGTTCCAAATTGTCCGTGCCAGTAGCCCTTGAGGCCCTGGTGACGATAGATAGAAGCAATGACTCCTCTGATGGTTGGTGCGGCTACGACGGTACCGCTCGTTTCTAGGGGAACTTGCATCTTGCATTTGACGAGTTCAATCGGTGTTAGGAAGAGTGAGGTGATGGCGCCCGCGATCATTCCGCAAAAGAGCATACCAGAATATGGCAAGTCACGCTCAGGGTGTCTCTTCAGCTCAGGATAGAATCCCGAGGACTTGAGTGCATCGCCAGCCAGACGATACTACAGACCACATCAGCTTGATCCACTTCTCCATTGGCACGTTACTCACACTAAAGAACAAAGTGCTTGTCTCTACAGCAGCTCCTACCAGAGGCGCACTGATCCCCCGGTATATTCCAAGGAAGCCATCCTGCTGTAGGGACTTCTTGAAGCAGTCCAGTGGCCCGGTGTAGCGGAGTGGCACCTGGTCGGGCTGTGACTGCAGCCGAACCTTGACCGTATCGAAGGGGTACTCGATGTACTTTCCGACCACTCCTGCCGCGGATCCACAGAGAACGTCCTTCAAGGCCTCTTCTCCCTTGCCTATGGTATGCTCTGTAGCAGGACTCCGGACCTCTTCCATTATGACTGGGTTGGGCAGCCGGCCTCTTCCCCCCACCACCGACACCGGACTCTCTTGTGCTTCCATGAATGCGGAATGTGTGTGGCTCGTCAACGGATATGTGTGATTGTATTGAATGTATGGTTATGAGGCCGAGCGCATGTTGCGTGCGAAGAGTCGTGGGCGGTGAGAGGGCGCGTGGCTACTGTTATGAATCGGAGCCCATGTCAATGATGGAGTATACCGGTAGCGTTTGCGTTATGGCGAGTGGAGGAAGGTTCGGAAGTGTGTAACACGACGAAGAGAGTTTGCTCGAGGGAGCATGTAGCGGGCCGTGTGTGCGACGGGGATGGAGAAGATGATAACGCCCAACGTTGTACCAAACAGGGTCGACCTTTCTTTAGCTAGCCTAGGAAAATTCTGCAGTATCGGAAGAAAGTATTACAGGAGTGGAAAGCGCACAGCGCTTGCTAAGCCAGACCATCTGCATGCGCGAATAAAGTATGGGCGCAACGAGCAGTTGGGAACGCGCTCCGGCCGCACTTCTGCTGATGCAGCTTATCAGATCAATTCGATCTGATAACATTTGAGTTGGGCGGGATTTGGGATCCCTGGCTGGCAGCCCGCGCCGGCAAAGTGCGCTAGTTATCGATAATCGGCATTAACTTTTCTCGCGCCGCCGTGTTCTGGGTTCGAGAACTTCTGCGAGATCCACTGGTCGCGCAACACTGCAACCATGTCTGAATCTGTGATAATCGAGGCGCCTCCTGCGACGGAAACTGCCCCTGTCAAGGGCATGAGAAAGAACGGTATGCGACAGCTGTGTGCGGTATACCATTGCGACATGGCAATCTAACTTACCCCAGGCAAGCAATGGCACGACAACAAGGGCCCCTTCCGACCAAAGGCTGGCCAGACCTCATGGGAGAAGCGCAGTGAGGAGAGGAAAGCGCTTGCTGCTGTCAAGGCGAAGGAGAAGGAGCTGAAGGACGAGAAGGAGTCTGAGAGACAGGTAGGAAACCACGGCTTTTGGTTACAAATAGACAGGAGCTGACTGTGCAATAGCGACGAGTCGAAGCCATCAAGACCAAGCGCGCCGCCAAAGCAGAACGAGAGCGATTCGCCCAGATGGAGGAGAAGATGCACAAGAAGCGCGTCGAGCGCCTGAAGAGGAGGGAGAAGCGTAACAAGATGCTGAAGTCATGAGCTCGGGTCGGATAGACTAGAGCCGAAGCATAAAATGCGGTTAAGGAAATGCCGCTTCGGGGGGATGTTGAAAAGGTGCAGAGGCAGGCGCGACTGCACTGCCTAGAGACTACCGGGAAAGCAAGAGCAACCGGAACCAGCCCAGATAAGTCCAGTCTGTAGGGCGGGATGCGAGCAATGATACCCTATCGAGACTTCCCACAGTGGAAGACGGAGCAAAAAGCAATCATATTAGAACCTTGCCCATGAGTAAAGAAATGAAATGCCATTCCCTACTGAAAGTACCATAACCATGGACGTGGAATCACCTATACAGGCAACTTGCAATACAATATCTGCAAGACTACAATCATCATGACTGTCTAGGCTGTTTCATGACTCTCTTCACATGCGCTTCCCCAGCTGGCTAGCGGAAGGAGACCCCTGCAATGACACGCGAAACTCGGAAGTCGATCTTGGAACCCAGCAGCACCGACAACTGCCTCGTTGCGCCGACCCAACCACCACCATGACATGGACGGACAGCTTCACCTCCATGCCGGCCTGGCCGACCCCAGGTCTTTCCGTCCCAACCTCTACAGCTCTCGTTCGGCGACGCGCGTGACGACTGACCCCGAGAAGAAGTCGCATTCCCACCTGCACAAGCACAAGTCGTCGCGACACCACCACGACCGTCACGATGACCGGCACCGCCACAGCTCCAGCCGACGCCATGCTGCCAAAGAGGCGATGCAGTCAGCCATCCAGATACAGCCGCCCACCAGCTTCGGAGACCTGCTGAGGCAGGCGCGAGGGAGCAGAGACACGAGCCCCAGTCACAGTCGCAGGGAGAGCGTCGCACCAGGGCAGGCAGATGGCAGCGTGCATGGGAAGGAGGAAAGCACTCCAGGCATCACCATCCCGCCGCGGAGACCAATCCGGCAGGCAGATGTGGAGCTAGAAGCTAGGAGAGTTGAAGCTAGAGAACGGTGCGTCTGCGTCATTCACTATCAACCCCCATGATGCTCCGTAGCGTTCCCCCAAGATGCCTCCTCTAACATGGCCCGCAGAGACCTTCGTGCGGTTCTCCAGACCCTTTCCGACCAGTCCCTCAAGACGTCGCGCCGTCTAGACGACACCTACTACTCCATTCTCGAGAAGGTCTCCGTATTGCGCCAGACCATCGGAACACTGCAAGAGCTCTCTGGCCTGACCAAAGAGCTCCACGAAAACTTCGAGTCGGACACGACAGAGTTGCTGGAGGATGTGACTGGCCAAGTGGAAGCCTTTGATGGCTTCAAGACACAACAGGAGCAAGTGAGCGGGTTGGAAGAGCGCATCAAGGCGGGTAAAGAGAAAGCCGATGCACTGACGGCGAGGCTCGAACGAGCGAAAGAGCGTGTCGATGCGAGGGCCAAGTCTGAAGCGCAGTGGCAGGCGAAGAACACCCGTATGGCTATCCTCATAACTTTCTTTTGTTTCCGTCCCAACTAACATCACACAGATCGCGTGCGCATATTCTGGGCTATAGTGGGCTTCGTAGCTGCTCTCATACTAGCTCTCATTCTCTTCCGCCCCTCGCAACCGACCGACCATCTACACGAACCGAAGAATACACTCGATCCTGCGACCAGAGAAGCAATTCTGAAAGCCGACATACCAGACATAGCAAAAGAGGCAATCATAGGGCCGTCATCTAGTACTGCAGGTCCAAAAGTGGAGACCCCCGAAGCGCGGCCTGTACTAGATGACGATGAGCGACTGCGCGCATTCGACGAGTTGTAATACTTCCAGCTACTTTCCTGTCTATTTTGCTTTCGAACACCAAGATACCCCTGCGATAGTTTGGCCACGTCCAATATCAATCTCGAAATGATCAAGTTCTTTTGGTGTTACCGTCCACATCATCCTAGCCGTCAGGAGACCTATCACTGTTGTATGATACAGGTATATCCGCGTGCGTTGCAGATCGTTGAACACAGCGTTAGGTGTTACTAGGCAGGACGCCTTGCCAAACCATAGCCAATGGTCAGAATCTGTACAACACCTCAGCCGCTTTTGGCCCACCTAGCCCAAGCCACCAAAGCCACTAGCCCAGCGGCCTCTCGTATGTAACAGTACTTAGTCCTGTCGACTCCTCGCAGATCTTGACACACGAAGCTATCGCTGCTCTACCGGATCCTGAGCATGGCTTCATCTCGCTCTGCCACTATGCGTTCGCTGGAGCTCAGCCAAGAGTACCTTCCGACGGCCACTGCTCCAGTCAGAGCAGACCCACTTGCAAGCAGCCTCAAGCAGGATCGTTCACATGGTATCCCGGATCACGGCCATTCCACTCATAGCGAAAGGCTACTCGGTAACAACCTAGCATGGAGTTCAGAAGGACCAGAATCCGTGTCTTCGAAGGAACAGGCTATTGTCCGAACGCACTACGATCCACCGAAGCGTTCTGGAAGCTTTCACTGGGGAGATTGGCGGTGGGAGATCGCATCTGCACTTTTCAGTTTTCTATGCATTGTCGCCATAACAATCATATTGAAAGTCTACCAGGAGAGACCCTTGTCCAATTGGCATTTTGTTCATAACATTACGCTGAACACAGTTGTTGCACTTCTTTCGACCTTATCGCGGACAGCCCTGATAGTACCAGTTGCATCATGCTTGAGTCAACTCAAGTGGATTCATCTGGTTAGGTCACCACGCCCGCTGCGAGAGATGCAAATCTTCGACGACGCTAGTCGTGGACCTTGGGGGTCTCTGGAACTTGTTTGGAGATTGCATCTCAAAACCAAGTTGGCAACATGGGGTTCTCTCATCACGGTACTGTCCCTCGCCATGGGCCCCTTGTCACAGCAGTTGCTTTCGTATCCTTCAAGATTGCGTTTCGACACCTCTGGTGCGACTTTCTACAAAAACCAAATTTATGATTCCGGCGCCGCCAGGGGCGTCACCGGACGAGGTGTTATCAGTAAGTTATATATGTAACTTCTTTAGAAGCCGTTCCAAGCTTACAACCCGAACAGGGCGGATGATGGACCCCAAAATACAAGGCGCTATCCTGAATGGGCTCTACAATCTCAGTGCACCAGTGCAAGTTGAATGTCAGACTGGAAACTGCCAATGGGACGACTTCACAACCCTGGCAGTGGCTAGCAACTGTACGAATGTCACATCCGTCTCGGAAATTGTCTGTGGCAGTATACACGCAGGGAGAAGCTGCAATTATACAACGCCATCTGCTTTCTTCATTGAGTCGTCTTCCCATCAAAGCTCAGGCGGCGGAGGATCAACTCAATTCAACAGTAGCGCTCATATACAGCGCGCATCTCAAATCGGCAGCGTACTCAACAGCACCATCGTCAGTTTCGCTACCGCCAGCATGGTGTCGCCTTTTAGCATGGACAATCCAGACCTCACTGAGTGTGACATGCGTTGGGTCGGTCGGCATGTCCGTAACATGAACGTCGTGAACGGTACCTTCAACCCTGGAATCATACAAGACTATGAACTTTACGGCATCGCCAATCCATTCAACCCGGACTATTGGGTCTCTTTCAACGTCTCGAACGAGACTACAACATTCTCCGGTAACACAACTTTCAGTGTTGGTCCAGTCGACAACGAGGGAATGATGACGTTTCTCTCCGGTATATTTTCCTCTACAATCAAGGACGCGTACGGTCTTGCCTTGCAAAACTCTACAAATCTAACACAGACTGTCCAAGCTATTAGCACTTCAATGACGTACGCCTTCGGCCAGGGGCCTAGCAGTATCAACCTCCCTGGTAGAACAATCACGACGGAGCAATACATAAAAGTCCACTGGGCCTGGATAAGCGTACCAGTTGTTGAAGTCATCATGGGCATTGCGTTCTTCGTAGCTACGCTCGTACATACATGGAGGAGGGGCGTAGTGGCCTGGAAAAGCTCTGCCATCGTACCGTTATTCACGCACATTGAAGGATGGCATCCTGAAGAAAGTCGAATGGGCAGTGCAAGAGAGGTAGAGAAGAGGGCTATGGAGATGAGAGGCTTGCTAGAGAGAGATGAAGACGGTGGTCAAAGGTTCAGACGTTTGGATGGATGAGCTATTTTAAGCGCCACAAGATATAAGACCATGACAACATGACGCCGAAACCGACCAAACCTCCCACCTCCGTGCCTGAGGATACGCTGTGGGTTGCGACTCCTACAATGATCGCTACGACTGTCGCGATCATGAACGATACGGCTAGTGGCCATACCAAATATGTCTTGTCGACGGCATGGCCGAGGCATAGGACCTTGCGCTTCGTCGCAGCGTCCGTATTCTCCACATCGAACAAATTCGTCTCGTGGAACATCCTTCCGCTCTCATGTAGCACCTCGGGACGTCGTAGAGCAGCTGAGAGAGTAGGCGACGTCTCAGTACTTCCAAACTGCACCTCCAAAGGAAACGTACGTCCTTGAACTAGGGGCTATAAATGGTCAGCAATCCGTGTTACGTTAACGACCGTCTGGCTATCGACTTACGGGGGTGATCTCGCATATCTGAACGACGGGCCTTTGGCACCACAGCCAACGCAACCTGACGCGCTCTGTCGTACTGAAGCGCAGCTTGTAGACCTTGAAGAGATGTATTATCTGCTGCTCCGTGTTGAGTGCTTTGGTTTGCTTGTCGAGGAAGTTGCGGCCATGTTTGGTGTATCCAATCCAAATATCGGGCTCTCGGCCGATCACGGTAGCATTCGTGGTTCGATCGTCTGGACTGATAGTGACAGACATGATCACTGAGATGGTGCATTCTTGTCGTCGCCCACATGCATTGTCTTATACATGTCGAGCTACAATACATGACTCTAATCGAGCACCACCTTACAATATCAAGCTAGGGATCAACAACTTGAGTATCTTGTAAAGCGCATGTCTTCCTTCGCCTACATTTTGCTCACTGTGAGTGAACATCATTTATCTTGCGACAAAATGATGTTCGCAGCTGGGAAGGATAAACAAATTGTTTGTGTAACGGACTGAAACATTCTATTATTAGCTGCAAATGTCTCGGCTGCGTGAGGGACGTTCAACGTGGAGTTCTTGGGGGCTGAACAATTTGTTCGCGTTGCCAACAATTTGCTCTACACCGCGACTTTGGCAAGTCGTGGGTGGCCTTCGCCGTCGCGCCACTCCTGCTTGATAAAAAGGTCGTCTTGCCCTCCCTAGGTCTTCTATCGGCTATCTCTATTTTCACAATTCTCTTCGGAAAACTTTCGGTTCATAGCATTAGCAGGAAAAGATTCTAACAGTACGCGTACAGAAGTATCTCGGTCGCGGCTATGCAGCCGCCCTGCCGTGACACAGAACATTGGCCCCTCTCTATGCGACGCAAACCGAGTGTGGACTTGTGCAACGAGCCCCTTGCAAAGTCAGACTCCAGGCCTCAAGTTCCTCAATTCGAAAAGGACGCTACATCGATTACACCACCCATACCATCGTGCGACAGTGGCTACGGCGGTTCTCCTAAGCTCCACTGGCAAGAATTCACTGGTCCAATACCGGCAGTCCTTGCCGACGGACTCGAGCGATTGTCTCCACCAACCAGTTCTTCTAAATCGCATACGGCTGCTTCGATTCCGACAACATCTGTCACAGCACAGTCATCGCCAAGGCCTCTTCATCGATTCACCTCCACAACACGACAAGCGTACGATGCCGTTCATTCGTATCCGTTTGCGAGGATTTTGAAATCGTTTAAGTGGTGGATACCGACTCATGGGCCTTGTAAAACACCAGCACCAGGATTATACACAGCGACTACAACACCGAGTAGTCTAGTACATTGTGGCCGAGAAAAGGACAATAACAGCCAACATGACGGGGATGGCGATGAGGTCGCGCACTGGATTAGTGCAACCGAACATGCTGCGGTCACGAGCATTCACAGTTCACTAATTGCTCCGGTACAAAGCCGGAAAAAAGAGACTATATCACCATGCAATAGGGCGCTTCTTCTTGAGTCCTGGTCATATCTGCAGGCAGAACATGATCCTCACGAGATATTTGAGACATGGCAGGGAGATGACAGTACGGAAAGCTATGCGGCGGATACAAATATGGCCTGCACAACAACCGACGGTTCTGGATCAGACGACCCTCCGAAGAGCGCCATAACGTCCCATAGTACTTCGATTGGATCTGGTAGCAAAGTCTTCCCTTCTCTCAGCCGGTCAAACCCAAAGAGATATGAAAGTGAGGATGACGATGGGTACCCGCACAAGAGGCCGAACGGCAAGCAACAGCCTTGGGATCTCGGCATAACCTCGCCTTCTAGTCACAAGGTACAAATGCGCTGTCCATTGTTAGAACGACATGGATGTCAAGGAACTAATCCATCAATCTCGGAGCTGAAGCGAAGTCTCATGAGTCGCCACGGCATAGGAATATGCGAACATTGTTGTACGCGACTGCCGATTTCAGACGATGAGAAAACGCCAAAGGAACTACTGAAACTACTGGACGATCATGTAGCGGGATGCGTTGAACGACGCTGTATTGGCAGTTCTTGTGGCAACGCTTTGAACGACAGTGCTTCTCATCCTCGCCGAACTGGAATATGTCCCTCCTGGGCAACGCTTTCCAAGGAGATAAGATGGCGTTTTATGTGGACATTAGTAAATCCCCAGTTAAACCCACCGAATCCGAACTTCCTTCTGGGTCCCAATCTTGAGCATATTCAGGAGAGAAGGCCTGTCAAACAAAGAGCACGACCTAGAGGAATCGAAAAATGCCCACGCATCTCGCGAGACATCGAAGCCGATGAGAGACGCATTATAGAATTGGAGATTGACCTGGCAGCGGCCAAGAATGAGACTGGTCAAGTACAGCAACAAAGGAACGACAAGGTCGCTAACCTGGAGAACATCATTGAAAGCTTCGTGGAGCTTCTTTCTTACAAAGGGATCGAAATACCAGGATCAGTACGAAAGCGGTTGCAGAACGAGTGCCCCGAAGTCATGGCTGGAATCCTTACCAAAGAATTGCAGACTATGCCCCCGCTGCCGACATCAGCTTTTACGACCAACCATGGACAATATCCAGTGTCAGGCATGTCATCGGCATGGGGCCACATGTCTTTTCCACCGCCGGCAATGCCCACGATACCTGCAACCTGGAATACGGCCCCTCAGCAAATGGTTGGGTCAAACCCAGGTTACTACTTCCCAGATTTCAGCGACAAAGCTCCCACAGCGAGCGCGATGTATCCAACCGATGCCTATATTCCAGTTTCGAATTCCATAAGCATGGATCCTAGTATCATGCATGCACAAGTCGGAAGATACAGCTCTGCCGAAACACCGGAGACCGTACAGCCGTGTGAGTGATGAGAACAAGACTATCGCGGCATACCTGCTGAATGTGTACGAACAAAACTTTTCCGTTTCGTTTTCTCTCGGATGTGTGTTATCGAGAGTCGTTGTCTATATATCACACGTCACGGTTTCATTCATGGTGTCGCTTCACTAGCGTTCTTACTGTGCAACATTTGAGTATCTCTTACTCGGTTGCAGCTTCGAACAGTTTCTGCTACAGCTGTAAACTCATCTCATATGTTTCTCGCAGGGTTCTTCTGCCAAAAACATTCTAAATGCCATGGGACTTAGCTAGCTCTTCTTCCACTACAAACAACATCTTCCCCTTGATCGCACTTCCATGGATAAGAAGCTCATGCGCTTCAACCGCATCGCTCAGCCTCATCAGCTTCGCGACAACCGGATCCAACTTCCCCTCTCTCACCTTCTCCACGAGCGCAAAGAATTCCACCACTTCCTTCTTCTTTGGGTACTCGATATCAAGCGACCAGAAGCTTACTCGTGGTGGCTGGAGTATTGCTTCAAGGAGCTTGTCGACGTTCGCCAGCATTTTACTCCCATCCGCAGCGATGCCCCCCATAACTCCGAAGACGACCACTTTGCCGATTTCCTGCTTAGTCGCTGCGAGGAAGTCTTGAACGCTCTTCTCACTACCAACACCGTCATATGCGACATCCACACCCTTTCCATCCGTCAGCGCATGAACTTGCTCCACAAGATCCGGGGCGTTTCGGTCAAGCGGTTCCACACCCAGTGAGCGCACGTAATCGAATTTGCTCGGCGAACATGTTCCGAACATCTTGATGCCCATGTCGAATGCCTTAATAAGCTGCGCCATAGCTGTTCCCAGTCCTCCACTTACACTCCCGATCAGAATGGCCGAGCCAGGTGGTAAATCGACACCACTGTGCTTCAACAGACCCCATGAAGTCATGTAGTTCAGCGGAAGTGCGCAAGTTTTCAGGAGGTCATCTTCATGCTGCAGTTTCATGACTTCTTCGTGCGGCAGGACGATGTGTGAAGCATGTGCGCCAAAAATGCTCAACGCTGCGACTCTGTCTCCAATGTTCAGTTCTCTTCCCTTTGGAACAGCATCGCCTAGCGCAATTATCTCGCCTACGAGGTCATAGCCAGGTGTGAAGCCCGGTTCCTTGGCTAGGGGATGAGGGTAACCGCCGACACGCTGAATATTGTCGACTCCAGCGATACCAGCAACCAGGATGCGAATGAGTACTCCGCCAGCAGAGAGCGCGGCCATGGGATCAAATGCCTCCCATCTCAGCACGGATGGCTTGCCGAACTCTGTTATGATCCAACGGCCTGGTGAGGTTGGAGTAGGTGATGTATTGGGCGTGGAAAGCGATGGAGACATAGTTTGAATGAGTTGAGGAAGCGCTTGTTCTGTGAATGTAGGTTTCTGAATTGGTCAATAGCGGAGAGCGGAGACTGTGTCAGCTACTTAACAATAAAACGTATGTCTCGTACAACCGCCCGAACCTGTTATGTCCGATTTTATAGTTTCACTAACAATGGCACGCCTTACAGCAGAACGAAGTCGCATTTATAATCTTGAATATCCGACTTTTGTCAGCGAGTACGAATGGTACATGCAGACTCCCAACGAATGAACAGCGACCGGCCCCTCACACCACCAACTCCGGTCCTCGTTCGCCCTCTTTCCGACTAACACCATACACGCCTAACACCATCAGCGCCAACAACCCTACCGCAAACTCTCAGAAGCTCTTCCCGTCGACAGACTTACGCTTCAATTTCTCAAGCTCAACACCCTGCAGCATGCGTGCATTGATACACGTCATACCGGCAAAGAAATCCGGATCTTTGGAGCGGATCATGCACGATGCACCGCAGGTACCGCAGAAGTAGTGGCCCATTCTCTTAGTTCCGAAAGAGTAAGACTGTGGACTAACGTTAGCTGACCTAATCTTTTGCGGTATTTACTACGTTGCTGGCGACATATTCACTTACCTTGAACTGCTCGATACTACCGTTTGAGAAAACGACACGCTCGTTAGGCACGTAGATAAGAAGATAACCGTTGGATACGCAGATACTGCAGTTGCACTCCACTAGAACCGCGTTGGGGTCATCGAGCGGAGGAGACGCAGTGACAGAGTACTTGAACGCGCCGCAGTGGCATGACGCGTCGTAGGTTTTGGTTGGAGCGTCGGCTGGGGGCGCGCCAGGAGGACCAGTATCGGACATGATGTAGTAGTTGATGAAGCTTTGCCTTCCGAATTTGGTATAAGTTGGTTAAGAACAGTAGTCTGTTTATTGTGTACCTAGATACAACAGGTGAGGTTGTTGCTAGAGAGGATATTTATTGAGATCTAGTGGCTGCTGCCTAAAGTGTCGCATTGCATCTACGTCCAAGCTAGGAAACTCCACTTCGCGTAAGAGTCGCGTCGTCACACGTAGGGCGCCCTGTTGCTAACGCGAATAGGATGTCCCTAGGTGTTGGCACACACCGACCGGCTTTTAAGTACATAGCGCCTTCCCCATGAAATCAGCTAGCTTTGGAACACTCTCCTCAGTATCAGCATACAAATCGAGATGTCCTTTTCCTTCAATGACGAAAAGTTCCTTCGGCTCCTTGGCCTTCTTGATTGCGTCCTTGCTGTAGCAAGCGGTGTCGGCTGGGCCTCCATTACCCGTGTCTGCCAAACTTCCCGTAATCATCAACAGCGGTCGCGGAGAGATCCAGTCGATGAAAGCAAAAGAATCGTAGGTGGAAAGCTTTTCGAAGCTCCTCACAAGCTGCAGGTTGTTACATTTGGGATGGTTCCCGAGTGGAGTCGAATAGTATGACTTTGCCTCTTCGAAAACGTCTAGCGTGCTGAATGTGGCAGGCTTTCCTCCCTTGGCTTCTGAGATGCGTTCTTGCGCTGCAAAACTCAGGCGCTGATGCAGTGTTTCTGGGTTGATGTTTCCAGAGTCGTCTCTCAAACCGTTGCGATGCATACCACCCAAGCAGACGCCGACTACGGTCGCCACGGCCTTCATGCGCACATCAGTCTGTGAAGCGAAGATTGCGTAGCCTCCAGAAGCACAGATTCCAACAACTCCGATCCTTTCGGGGTCAACGTCGCCGTCAAGAGTTGAGAGGAATGTTACGGCGCTCTTGAGGTCCTCGACTCGTTGGTACGGATCTTCTAGGCAACGTGGCTCGCCTCCGCTCTCACCTTGGAAGGCTGCATCGTACGCGAGAGTTATGAAGCCATGTTCGGCTAGCTTTCTGGCATATAATCCAGACGCTTGTTCCTTGATAGCTGTACCGGGGTGGCCGACAATAAGGGCGGCATTTTTGCGGTCTGGTGCGTTTGGGGAGGGTAGGTATAGATCGCCGATTACGTTGATGCCATGGCTGAGGAAGTTAACTTTGCGAACAGTGGCCATCGCAGTTGATGCGTAAGAAGAATCGGTTTGCTTGGTGGTTCGTGGAAGCAAGTTGATAAGGATACGTAAGAGACGATGGTCTTATTCGTCTGTACGAGCTGCTCAAGGTTTCTGCTAAACGCTGACGTGAAATGCCAGGTGTTTATGTATTCTTGCCAAGAAGATGTGTAGATTCATAGGGACTACGATACCGCCGCGATACTCACCATGCTCGTGTTTGAGCCTGTACTTTCAGTTACCCCCCGGCTGAGGCTCCATCAGCACTCATTCGTTCCTCAGACATTCATGTCGCATACCACGCTCAAACGTCTCTGGCATTAACGCATATTGCTAGGATGCCAGTACACGGATTTAGGATTTAGGACTTTCTCGGCCAAGGTTTCGCGCGCATTCGATCGTATACATTCGTCCGCGCACCAATAGAAAGTTGGGGATTTTCCCCGACCTCAGCATCGCCCACTTCTTTTCTCAACCGTGAGGTGCGACATCAACTCAAAATCTTCTTAACGCTGAATGATAACTTTTCATGCAATGATGTATGGAACGGATTACAGGATCTTGCAAACGTTGGGCTGTGATTGAGAAATGCTTGAGTTTGCGCCGTTGAACTGCGCAGCTGATATTCTGGTATCAAAAGTCAACGACACTGGCCCAGCACACTCACGCTGTATCATAACTGTGAACTGATGCTGGATATAAGACAGTGAAGACCATGCATCTGTCTGACCCGCTTGAAGGCCAGCGACTATGGCAGCAGATCAAAGCTTGACTCCGGCAACATTCAAGCACAGTCCAACGAAAATGATCATCATAGTGCTGGGGCATTAGACGACGAGAGTGATATCCAACATAGTATCCGATGGCCAAGAACGAAACGGGGTGAAAAGCACGTATACTTGTCCCGGTTTAACGTGTGTGAGTGAATGACATAGACGTACTCCCCTCTGGTAGGGAGCGCGGGTTCTCTTCGATGGTTCAGCATACAGGACAGCGGCAAGCACCGACTTACCTTCTGACAACGATCAAGGGCTGGGATAGATGAGATGACTTCACAGAAACCTAAAGGTGATCAGCGTGTAAAGTGGTTGCAGATTATCTTTTTGTTACCATAAGAGGTCCTAAACTGAAGTGGCCTGGTAATGGCGACTCATGCTCTCTCTGATCTTAGCGTACTGTAACGCCGCATACTCCGATCCAACCCTACTGTGATGTACATGATAAGCTAGACAAGCCCAGACCCTGACAGGGTTGGCCTACCATTGTTCCAACTATAACCAATTCCCAGTTCGCTGAAAGCAAGAAAGTGCAACAAATCCCCGGGGTAGTGGCCCCAGGAAAGAAAGCAAAAGAAGGTACTGGGGATCTTACGTTTAGATGAAAATATCCAGCTCATGTCTCCTGACCTCGTCCTCCTCGAAAGTTGGGAAAGCTGGGACCATGGCGTCGGCGTTCTGAACGTAGGCATCGTTGTAGATGCGCCAGTAAGGGTTTCGCACTTTGCGTGCTGGATGGAAGAGACCAGCCCAGACGTAGTTCATGACAAGCGGGGTACCGATCGCGTTGCGGACACCTTCGATAGCCTCGATGATGCGGTCGATGACGTGAGGACTGGTTTCGAACAAGTTTGGCCAAAGAAGGTTGAGCAAGTGAATCATCGCATCTTCGCAGTCGAGACCGACACAGCCAAGAGCAACGTGCTTGACGACCGAAGCGGCAGTCTGGCGATGCACTTGATCTCGGTCGATGAGGGCATCCTCTAGAAGTGGTGTGATGGCATAGACATAGTCCTTTGCCATCTCGCCGATGTACTCGAACATGAAGGACAATGATTTGAGGACACCATTCTGTACGTTGAGCTCCGGTACGCGGTACTCGTTCATAAGAGCCGGTAGGACAGTGAAGGGTGCACAAGTTTCGGCGACGATACCAATGGCGACGGCAGTACAGACACGGGACTGACGCTCCTGAACTCGAAGGTTACCAAGCAAAGTGGCCAGCACATCCTGGGGACCGATAGCTTTGGCAATATAACCGAAGGTGTTGTTGGCAGCACGACGAATACCCTTCTTATGAGCCTTGAGCATGTCCAAGAGTTCGAAGCAGATACGCATCCACTCACGAGGGTTGACGTAGTTTGCACCTCGATCAGCAATACGTCCTACCAGATCGATGGTGTTCTCCTGTACCTTCTCATGTCGGTTACGAAGGATGGGCGTAAGGCGGGGCAACAGATCCTTGATAGGCGGTTGCATGGCGTGGAGACCGACGACTGTGACGATAGCACGAAGAGCACCGAGAATGGAACCAAGAACCTCAGGATACTCCTCACCAAGGTATTCGTACAACGCCTGCGCAAGCTTGATGAGTTGTGGGTCCTCGTCGCACTTCTGCATCACGAAGGTGATTCGCGAGATGAGATCTGCTGCTTGCTGACGGACGGTTGCGGATTTGTTGTTGAGCCTAGCAAGAACTGTTGCGACGATCTGCGGGAGATAGGTCTTGGTACGCTCACCCAGTGCGTTGACGACCGTAGCAAAACCGTCGATGACAATGGGGTCCTCGATGGTTTGGTCCTGGAACGCAACAAGCACACCATCAATTAGCTGTTCTTCCAAACGCTGGTCGACGTCGTGCGCTCCTAGTGTGCTGATAACCTTGTCGACAGTCTCGACAGTCATCTTGCGGTATGCTTCGTTCTCGTCCTTCATGTTGTTAACAATCCTGCCGACGATCTCAGCAACACCAGCTTTCTGCGCCAGGTCCACGGTCGTGTCCACCACTTGTCGGTAGTTGCGCTTGTCAAGAGCCATGCGGCGTACCCAGAAGTGCTTGAAGAATTCAGGGAGAACATTGTCCTTGAGGTAGACTGGGGTTACTCCTGCGGTGTTCGAGCACTGAGAAACGACCTTGAGCACGACCTTCTTCATCTCTTCATCGGGTGATTGAAACTCGCGAATGACGATCTCCATGATCTGACTGGTATAGTAGTTGGAGTACTCCTCGTCCATGAGCGGGATGACATAACCGACCGCCTTCAGGAAGGATGCAAGAGCCTTACCACGTTGGCGACGGGCTCCGGTCCAGAGAGGGTTCAGAATATCGTCGAATGACTCGATACCGTACGGGCTCGCGGCTTCAGCTAAAGCTGCAAGTGCAAGAGCTGTGACCATGCGGACCTTTGGCTGTTCGTCATTCAGGTTGTCGCCGATGCACTCCACAAGTCCCTTGAGGTGAGGAAGAATAGCACAACCCATAAGGATAGGGATCTGCTGAACAATCTTCACACCAGTATGACGTGCGTGCCACGACTTCTTGGATCGACACACAGCGCGGAGGAAGGGAAGGAGGGCGGGGATACCGAGGGCAGATGCGACGACAGCGAAGGCTCGAGCGGTGGTGTTTCGGACGTATTCGTCTTGGTGGTCTAAATCGGGACGCATTGTACTGATCATGTGTGCGAGACCAGCGGCCTTTGCAAGGTTAGAAATAATCTCTCGACCTTCGACACGGGCGTAGTAGTCTTGGTCGATAAGGAGAGGCTCAATGACGACGAGGATCTTGTGGACGTAGGGCCGAACAAGGTCGTCGAGCTTGTAGAGGACACGATCGATGACTTTGACGAGCAAATGTCGCTCCTGATCCTCCAAGGTGCGCTCCATGAGGAGAGGCAAGATCTGGTTGAAGAGAGCGCCAGCACCGAACTGCCGGGCGTTGTCGGTAAGTTGTCGAAGCGCGGTCTTTCGCATGGGTGGTGTTCCGTTCTTGACCTTGAGCAAGAGTCGCATGATTTTGCGCTCCTTGAGTTCCTC